GGGGTCTGAGCGAGCACCAATTAAATGTCATTTATCAGCAGAGGAAAAAAAACAGAGTCTAAAGTTTAGATAGCCTTCTGATTTATGGTCGCAGCGATAAGCCAGTCGAGCGACTGGACTCGACATAGACACGGGCAGACAGGGGGGGACGGGAACGGTGGGACTATTGGATTGGCATTGGCATTTGTGGCGATTGATTTGTAGTGTGTAAAGGTAAATAAAGTAAATATGTAATTTGTAATTGCGCTTGGCTTATTTGCAATCGTTTCGAGACGCTTCAAAGCGCCCACACCGACAGCAGAGCAACAGTTGCTGATAGCCAGAGCCACAGCCAGAGCTAGAGCCAACAACAACTGCAACTGTTGTATGTTTGAGCACGCAATCCCCATCTAATGCCGCCTGGAGTGGAGCTTAGGCTCGGGATTGAGAAAACTGAGCACCTCTCTAGGCAGACACTCACGTTATATATCCAATCGAACTCGAATTCGACTTCGAATTGGATAGCGGCATTGTATCCGTTAATCAAGCATCAGCAGCTCGTTTCATTGGCATCCAGCGACCAAATCATGGCCCTAATCTATCGGCCCAAAGTTTATGGCCCCCACTTTTGGCATATCTCAACCAGCTCAATATTTATTGTGTTTGCCGTCCGTCCGTTTGGTCGATTTATATTCGTGTTCCTTTGACCGCTTTCATATTTGCCGAAAGCACAAATTTTACAATAGTTTAGTACGTCCAGTATTTATATGGACTTGGCGGCCCCTAACTACTGTTCTATCACAATTTTTGATCGATTGGCTTTCGCTAGTGATTGTGAATCATTTAGTGCTTGAATGGGGACAAACAATTGCACAATTTATTAGAGGAAGTTGAGGAAGTATATGGGCTAGGTCAGAGTTATATTTATATTGTATAAGTACATAAATATATATATTTTTTGAAAATAATATATAAATACAAAAAAAATGTAAATATACATAATATATAAATTAAGTTACTGAATTTAAAATACATATATTAAATAAAATACATTTCCATCAACAAGAAAATATATTATAAAAATATATAAATATATATATATTATATATATTTGACTTATTAAAATTATTATATTTCATAAATTTTTATCATTATTCAATAATTTTTATTATATATATTTATTTATTTTTTTATTTTTTTAATTCGTAATTAATTTATAAACTTTGTATGTATATGCGTACATATATTCATATTTCATAATTCAATAAGTTTTCAAACTACCCACGCTTCTGCAAAATTACTCAACTCTTTGAGAAGATCTCCATAAAAGTTGAGCAACTCTTGGAAAATTAGGAATTAAATGCATTTGTAATAATTATCACATGCTAAACAAATTCGCGCTGCGCAATCGAGCCCGAACACTGATAATCCTGCCATAAGCGCATCAATTGTGGGGGCGTGGCAAGGGCGTAAGGGCGCAAGGGCGCAACGGGGGCAAGGTGGCAAGGGGCGTATAAACAGGATAACAATGATTTCAATTACCATGCAGTGTCGAATAATTATTCTACCTTTTTTCTGCCGTCTTTTGCGTGAATATTGCTCCCGGGCGTATAAAAACAGATGAACAGGGAGTCGAAGGGTGGCCAGGACCACAGCCAGAGCCAGAGCCAGAGCAAGAGCCAGCGCTCGAGAGTGGGCTGACTGAGAGGGAGAGATTGAGAGCTGTAAGGGGGCACAGTTGGACGACGGCTATGTCTAATGTGCACAAATTTATGACTTTACTACCGACCAAGGGCTGAGTGCACAGGGGTCGCAGCAGCAGCAGGAGCAGGAGCAGCAGGAGTAGCAGATGAGGTGGTGGGCGGTTTGTTGTTGCTGCTGCTGCTGCTGCGTGTCGTCTGTTTACATTGTCAGCTGGCAGACTGAGGGGCAGCCAGATGCTTAAGCTCATTATTATCATTTAAACAAGTCGGCCTACGTGAGCTACCAAAAGCTCATCCACTTGTCTCTGTTTATGTCTCTGTCGCCAGGGATGATTTTTGTCTGTGTACCAAAATTGTTGGCGAACGTTAAACGTTTTCAGTTTTAGTTCGAAACATGAAAATACCATTTTCTAGATTTTCAAACAAGCGCTCGCTCCCTCTCTCTCTCTCTCTTTCTCTCTCTCGCTGTCTGTCTGTCGCTCCATGGACAGCCACACCACTCAACTGGTGCTGGTGGTTGTCTGCGATTCGTTTGACTGTTTCGCTGCCCATTCGAATGGATGCTGTGTGATAATGCTCCCGGGACAATTGTGTGCATAATTAGAATAAAGGGTTTTTCCAATTGACATTCGCCGTAAATGGCGATGATTAAAATTTGCCTGCTTTATGGCTGCAGCTGCAGTGCGAGGTCAGCCTGCTTTTTCTATAATTATTTTTTGTTGTCAATTTCAGCTTTCGTGTAGCTGCTTAATATTTATGAGCACAATTTAATGTTAAGTGCGGACAAGTAATAAATAAATTAGTCATGGCAAGGAAATAAGCATAGAATAGGTTAATATCTGGGTCGAAATTACAGATCTGCTTGAGGAAAGAAAACTTCTGCTATGTTGCTTAGAGTCTTATAAGTTTTGATAATATATTATATATAATATATATATATTATATATTAATATATGCAGATATACGAAATAAAATTCCATAAGGTCTAGTATTTAACTAATATTTCCTATGACATAGACATATTAGTATATATTTGACCTTTTAATTATTTTTTTGGCGCAGATAAAAACTCGACTAAGCTAGGATAAATTTATTTAATTTTTTTATTTGCCATAACTTACAATCATTTAAAATTAAAAAAAAATAAATAAAAAAAATAAATAAATAATAATAATAATAACTAACACAAAACTATTTAAAACTTTAGTCGAAAATACCCTTTTAAAATTATTTGATTTATATTAAGAATAATAAATAAATATTAAAAACTATTATACAATTATCTAAAATCAACCTATTTTAAACTAGTGTCGAATAACCCTTTTAAAAATATATATATTAAAAATAATAAATATTAAATTTAAAATTTAAAAATATGTAAAGTATTTAAAAGTATTTTAGATTGAAAACATTTTGTGTATATGTATGCATGCATATGTATGACAACTGCATAAAGCCTCTTAGGCCTCTGTCTAGCAGTTCGGCGAGTGTTTTGCGCTTCTGTTTAATTTCGAGCAGTTCCGCTGCCAATTGCCTTCGCTAAGAGTTGCCCTGTGCCTGGGCAACACTTAAAACGCAGCCAAACTGGAAGCGAGCAGCAACAACAAAGGCGCAATGCAATAAAAACACTTGACACTCTGCGATGCCAGAAGGCCTCCAAGTACAAAGGGAACACAGCGCGCTTGCCTCAGTTGTGCGGCGACTGCGATTAAACTGCGTGGCTGCAAAAGTATCTTTGTATCTGCGTATCTGTAGCTGCATCCGTATCTGACGGATGTGCGTGGGTTTTTTGTTTATGTTTATTTGGCTTTGCGTTTGCCGGCTCACTGGCTCACTGACTGAATCAAAGCCGCATTATCAAAAATCGTCCCCCGTTTTCTGCTCATTTTTTTTCGTGCTGAACCCCGCCCCCTCGGCTACTCCCACTGCCTGCGCAGTTACTTTTATCTGCGTGGCGAATTAGAATGTTGTCAAATTGTTATTCTTTTGTTGCGCTGCGTATTCATTCATTCGATTTGGATTCGCTCGAGCCCCTGGCCATGTCCCTCTACCCCTTTCGCTGCTCAGCAATGCGCCTGCGCCTGCGTCAACCCACAATTGTCGCCATCCTCTGTCTGGCTGCCGGGCTGCCTGGCTGTGAGCTCTGTGTGTGTTTTCTGTTTTGTCATGCTCCATTTAGCCGAGTGCGGACCGAACAGATGTTCTATTTAAACGCACATTATTATTATTCCATTTCGACAGCCGAATCAGAGGCTGAAACTCACGCCAAAGGCTGTGGCTGCCGCACGTCTTGTGCGCACCCCACAAAAGCGTCGAAAATGATGTTGTGCATCAGAAAATTTGCAAATAATGTTAAACATATATTTCGAATTTCAAGAGAAACTAAGCAGTTTTATTTTATTTATTTTTTTTAAATATTTTAATATCTAATTTTATTAATTAATTTTAGCAACCAAATATTTTCTAAAAAAATAATAATAATAACAAAAGTTTATATAAAGTGAATAATGTTTTTATTTGATTGTTAATTCAATATAATTTATTTGGAACTTAAGAAAAATTAATAATTATTGGGAATAATCATTTGGAGTAATTTTTTTAATATTTATTTCTTTTGTAGTTATTTCTCTTTTTCTCTCTTTTTTGTTTGTGATATATTTTAATTTACTTGAGCTCAATTATATTTGGATTTTTGCTGCTTATAATATTTACCTTTGAGAGCTTAGAGAGTTGTATATGTAACTTAATTTTATTTTCTATTACTAATATTAATAATTTTAATATGATTATCTATGTATGTTTCTAATGATAATACTTTTATTTTAATATTAGTATATTTGTTATGTTAGTCTGTTTATTCGAGCCCATCTCAAATGCTCAGTTTGATTTTGTCGGGTGGCTGCACTATTCGCACCCTGGGCGTTGTACTGGGTGACACAGTCGTTCATCCTGTTGATGATGATGACGACGACGCGTTGACGCCCAATGCGGAACGGGCGAGCAAAACGGTAATATCCTCGCATGCCCTCTCCTTTTCCGCTTCTCCTGCTGCTGCTGCTGCTGCTGCTGCTGCTGCTATGCGCTTGATTAGGGTGAATTAATGGTCATGTAAGGTGGATTAGGCGATTGAATACGAAAATAATTACATTTGAAATTCGATATGCTGACAACTGTCGGCGTATGAGTGTATGTGAGTGTGTGTGTGTGTGCCATACAGGTGGATCTCACTCCTTGTGCGAGTGTGATTGATGATGCGCTGCTGTTTGTTCTGATTTTGCTAATAGCTCACTTTCCTCTTCCTCTCTCCCTCTCTTTCAGATGCCGCTCACCCCTTTAGCATAAGCAATTTGGTCAAGACTGAACGCCTAACGGCAATCGTAGCCGCCGCCGGGCTGAAGCCGCCGCCGCTGCCGGCGCACAGCGTCGCCCTGACGGAGGACAACAACAATTCCATCTCGATGCTGAGCAAGAATCAACAGCAACAGCAGCAGCAGTCGCAGCCGCAGCAGCTGAGGCCCAAGCCGCTGCCTTACCTGAGCGCCAGCGAGCAGCTGCGTCAGTCGCGCTCCAGATCGCGATCCCGTTCGCGCAGCGCCTCGCACTGCTCCTCACAGATCGACATGGACGATGCGGACAGCAGCCACGAGCGCTACTCGCGGCATTCGCGTCGCTCGCTGCACTCTCGGTCGCGCTCCCGTTCCCGCTCCCGCTCCCGCTCGCACTCGAGCAGCTCGTCTGTCGAACTGGAAGTGGACTCGCCGCCCGGCAGTCCCAGCATCAGTTCACCCAGTGCCGCCTCCATCTCCGCCTCAGAGCTGCTTATCACGGCCAACAGTAACACCAGCGCCAAGAAATCGGATCTCTTCTCCGTCTCTGCGCTGCTGCGTCGCGACGAGCCATCGACCCGGCGCGCTCGCAGTCCTCCGCTGAGCCTGATCGGCGCCTCCAACGCGGCGCTGACGCTGCCCACCAACCCACTGGAGGCCATGCGCCAGAACTACCCGCCCAACTACGAAGCGGCCATGTTCCAGCGCCCCATCTTCTCGCCTGCGCTGCCCTTCTTCGCCGCCATTGCCTTTCACCAGGGACAACAGCAGCAGCAGCAGCAGCAACAGCAATCTGGACTGGTTGCGGGGTAAGTTGAGGCAATTATTAAAAATATACAGAAAATATATGAAAATTAAATATTAATATTGAAATAATTATTATTTTTTTTATATATTTAAATTATTAATACTAAAATAATCAACAATGAATAATTTAAATATATAATTTTTTTAAATTATTAAAAAATATATATATTTTATTTTTATTTTTCTTTATTTTTTAATTAATTAATATATTATTCATATAAAATAATATAAATACAAGTATAATTCATTAAAATTATTATTCTATAATTTCCTTATATTTCATATAAAATTGATTGAATAATTTGATTTAAAACTATTACTAAAATTAATCAATTTATATAAATATATTTAATTCCAATTATTATATATAAGTTTTTTATATTTTATAGTCACATGAATTTCTCTCAGTGTGTTTATTAGTTCCAACAACCTGTGCCTTAATTAAGTGCGTGCTTGAGCTAATTCTCCAACTCTTTCTCACTCTCCATCTCTGTCTTCTTCTGTTTCACCTCTGCAGCTATCATCCAGACTCACAGGAAAATCTCTTCCGGCTGCGCAGCCTAATGGTGCCACTTCAGTCTGCTGGCCAAAATGGCTCCACTGCGGCCGCCGCAGCGGCAGCAGCAGCCGCGGCCGTAGGCGTTGGCGTTGGCGTGGGCGTGGGCGTGCCACCCGGCGGCGGTCATCTGGGTCTGTCGCATCCGCCGCATCTGCACTTCCATCACATGGCGGCCAAGTGGCCGGGCCTGCACCAATTCAGCGACCTGTACTCGTGCATGAAGTGCGAGAAGATGTTCTCCACGCCGCACGGACTCGAGGTGCACTCGCGCCGCACCCACCACGGGAAGAAGCCCTACGCCTGCGAGCTCTGCAACAAGACCTTCGGCCATGAGGTCAGCCTCAGCCAGCACAGGTATGCATACGGCGCTCCGCCACAGGCATTTGGTCAGCCACTTCTCTGGCCCACTGCCTCCGAGCCACGCCCACTACGGCGGGGAGCACTTTGCATGCTTAATGAGGGGCCGGGCCGGGACAGGCCAGTCCAGTCCAGGGACAGTTTTGCGTTACTTAATTTAGCTGAAATGTTGGATTTGGCCTGGCCAAATGTTTGCTTTGCGGTTGTATTTAGCATTCAGCAGCGGCTCCAGGGAATTCGAGCCTTGGCTTTAATTACACCAAATAGCCGGCGGTTTGTTTATGCTGCATGTCGTTAAACGGTTTTTCTTCCTCTGCTTCTTCTGCCAGGGCGGTGCACAATGTGGAAAAGGTCTTCGAGTGCAAACAGTGCGGCAAACGCTTCAAGCGCTCCAGCACCCTCTCCACCCATCTGCTCATCCACAGCGACACGAGGCCTTATCCCTGCAGCTACTGCGGCAAGCGATTCCATCAAAAGAGTGATATGAAGAAGCACACCTACATTCACACCGGTAAGTTGAACTAAATCGTAGTTGAAATAATTATATAAGTGGGATTTGGGACATGGATGAACTTTGAAGTAATGGACTAAAGAGTTGAATATATGAAAGAGTGGACGAAATAGGTATGAAAGATAAAGAAATCATGAGAGTTTTGGAAGTTTTTATAATAATAATAATGTTGATAATAGTAATAATTTATATTTTAGCAATATTAGCTTAAAGATCTACTTAAAATATGCAGATCTTAGGGAAAGGGAGAATGGAATGAGGAAATGATGATAGGATATAATAGCACTACCACTCTAAGCTCTTAAAAAATAGAATAAAATAAAATGTTCAATAATATCTAGTAATTTCTATATGCCCATATACTCTTTAGTGCAACATTTTTGTGGATATTACGCATATGTTAAAATAAATTGATACTTGCACATTCACACACACAGACATGTACACATAGGGGTTTGCGATTTTTGAGAGAATTGCGAATAATGGGGAATATGTCCCGTAAGCGGGCGCCATTAAAGCGTCGAGCAAACCACCACCCAAGGCTACAGCCGCAGTCGCAGTTCCAATTACAGTTACAGTTACAGTTTGCCAGTTGACAGAGCGACGAGTTTTTGGGGCACCGGCGCATAGGAGGAGTGGGTAGTGGTAAAATGGAGCTGGCGACGGCGATAGGAAAGCGCAAAAACAGCTGAAAAGAGCGCCAACTATAAAAGCGCGCGCTCACTCTCACTAAATTCGCAAGAGAGCAGCACTCAATACACACACACACACAGGCGGAGCGAAATATATACAACGGTAAAATGTAACTGATAAGAAGCAGCAGTGAGGCGAAGCGTTGACGTCGAGCTATGTACAAAGCTTGGGAGAGAGGCATTGGAAAGACAACGGCACATACAATACACAAGCAGACATACACGCACACACACACGAACACAGGCAAACAGCGTTAGGCTACGCCTTGAAGCGCGAAAGAGAGCGAGCGAGTGTGCAGCGACAAGCGACGCGGGCAGAGAAATCACAGCCGACCAATGAAAAATTTAGTCAAGAGATTTTGATTTTCTGTTTTATACGCGCGCACACACACGCATAACAAACACGACGCACACATTGACACATGCTGTGAGACTGTGTGTGTGTGTGTATATATATTTCTGTGTCAGTGCGAGCTGCGCATACACCCCTATAACTACAATCGCAACAACAAAGCTCTGCCGAAAACGTAGCAGCTGCGCTGCTGCCGCCGCTACGCGCACTCTTGCGCCGCCATTACGCCTCGAGCCGCAAGGCGTCTGCATCGATTTCTATAGTTTTCTTGTTTTTGCTTTTTTCTTACTCATAGCCGCCCAGTCCAGTCCAGTAGCAGAGCTCTGCTCTTATCAGTATGACTACGGTCATCTTTATTTAAAAAAACTCAGGCAAAAGCATGAGCAAAACAACATTGATATTTCATGTGCGAGGAAATAGAATGAGTAATTTTATAAAAAAAATACAGAAAAAAAATTTGTTATTGAATTTTTTTAGCAACTTTGGTAGTTAATATACTAAGAAAGTTCAATGACTAAATTGATAAAAATA